CAGTTTGTGCAATGTATATTTATTGAGTCGCCGGACCTGATTATGCGATTCGCAATTACGATTACTTCAATTACTACAACTTACTACTAACGGCGGATGATAGTAAGTTAACTCATTGGGCACTAAGCTGATCAATTATGAAAATGCAATAGAGTTGATTGGATTAATCGAAAGCTCCTTTGTCAATCATAAAGTACTTAGCAGGTTGTGGCGTAAAGGTCAACTGGGTTAACTGAAGACCTGATTATCAACGGAAAAAATAAAATGCTTATTACCCTCTTAAGTAAATGGTCTGTATCGAAATCTGGTGAAGACGGCTTCACCCGCGCTGAAAGATGGAAACACAACGCAGTGCAGTAGGCATCACATTGTTCTTCGTTTCTTCACCTATCACACTTCCAGGTGTTACTTTTTCAATTATTCAAGCAAAATATATGTCGGCCTAATAGTTGTGAACTATTCAAAGTGATCTGAAAGGGGTCATTATCTTATCATAATAATATTATATTATTATGTATTATATTATATTCAGATAATCAGATATTCGAGTATATTGAGTCCATTTAGACAGTGATATTAATTTCTAATAATTCGCGTAATAAAAGTTGAACGTGAAGTTAAAGGCACTTTTCACATCACAGCAATGAACATATGATATGATATGACAAACAATCAATCGTTTGACACTAAGGTGCATAAATCAATCTTTGTAGAAAATTAAAAAAAAAGTGATCGATCAGTTCGAGTTAAGTTTGCAAAAAGGATTTTTCTTTTTTTTTTATAAAATAAAAAATAAAAGTTCATCTAATTTTGTGATATTAATAATCTTTTCCTTTAATTTTGATGAATACTTTATTCATATAAGCAAATGCTTGATAGATTTTACGAGTGAATGAAGAGTACAAACGATTCGGTCCAAGAGATGCGCACATTGCGCTTTGTCTTCTATTATGCATTTATATAGGTACGTGTGTTTGCCATATTGCTTTGAGTTGAGTTTGTCAGTTAGTCTTTTAAGTTTGTTTTTTTTTTTTTTTTTTTTGTTATTTATTTATTTATATATATATTTTTTCTATGTTAATAACTCTCGAATGATTTAACGCAGTAAATGGCGGTTGTACTTTACCCACATTTTAACAATTTGTCACGGTACGCGGTTAATTAAATTTCAGTTTTTCCTGTTCTGCAAACCTATAATCGACGTGCCTTACGTCGTTCTTCGTATATCTTTTTGCCCGGCTTACGGTTTATGCTGAAACCGTTTACTGCAATGATTATGCACAGAACTTAGATTTCATTTTATGAACACATGCACACACTCATGTATATATACATCTATATATGTATGTATATATATATATATATATATACATAAATATACATAGGTATTTAAGTGTATACGGGTTTTGCCGCATAATCGTGTGCTTTCCTATTTTCTCTTCCTGTGTCACATTGAGAGAAAAATTCCAACTTTAAGTCGGAATGTGTAAAAACAAAACTGAAAATTGACGTTGGTTTGCAATTTTCTGTTGGGCATAATAAACACGAAAAAAGAAGGGAATATCTGCAATTTTTGCCTTAGCTCAGTGGTTTCTATGTAGTAGTAGTAGTTGTCATCGTGCTGGTGGTTTGTTACGAGCACAATTTCTTTTACTATTTATTATTGCTGTTGCTGTTGCTGTTGCTGTTGTTGCCAGTAGTTTTATGCTTTATATAGAATATTTGGTTGTATGCGTGTATGCGTTTATGTGTATCATCTGTGATTGTTGTCGATGTTGGCAATCTTTAAACAGTGTGAGTTGGTTTTTATGTTACCCTGCAAAACTTTATGCTCTATGTGCAAAATTTGTTTAATTTGCATGAGCTACGCAAACTTAAATAGTTTTATGCAACTATTTATACAATTAATTATCAATGTGGGCCATAATCTGATGTTATACCCGTACGTACATACATATTCAGTCTTGGGTTCCCGTTTCAATTGTTGCCTACAGTGTTTCAGAAACAAAATCTGTTAAGTTTTTTTTTTTATTCCTTGTTTTCTTTTGCCTACAAACTTGTAACATAGATTTAATAAACAAAAAAAAAAAAACAAAAAAAAAAAAAAAAGGCCTGGTTTCTGATTTTAATTACATGAAAAATTCACTTGTTTTAATTCTTGCTCTTCATAATTTTTTTGATGTTGCATTGTTTTATGTCATTTTAAATTTTCCAATTATTCTTGCGATGAACATAAAGAATTTGGTTTTTAATTCAATTAATAGCTTATTTAAAATTTATTTAAAATTATGAGATCATTACTGAAAGTGATTATTAATAAAAAATTTTTAAGATTTTCCGCACGCAACATCAAACACTTATTCACAAGTTTACTAATTAATATTATTATAATAAGCGGAAGGACTCTTTCTTTCTGCATTTTACAACTTTTGTGGTTCCTTTGACACATTAGACATAAACGTGAATAAATTTGTTCAATGCTTGATATAATTTGTAATTATGGAGAAGGATATTATTCACAAATATAAATGTTTTCCGCTCAAACGGCGATGGTTTCTTAGGAAAATTACTTTTAGTTATAAAAGGAGTCTTTGTTTCTAATTTTTTCCATGGCACAGTGTAAGTAAAGTGTTGACAATGAGCTATCACTCCAACGAACTTCAACGTTGGTACATGGACTAATGGATCCATCTGCTTGATTTGACCTGATCAACCAACTAATCGATGATGCACCTGATTAGGGACACTTAACAGCAGTCAAGCAGTCAAGCAGTCGAGCTAGTCAGGGCAAGCAACTAGATCGCTACTCAGCTAATCAATAGGATAAATGGTTGCTAATTAGTTTAGAGAAAAGCTATTTGGCTTTTCCGAATTTCATTTGAGCTTTGTCAAACAGCGGTCCACTATTAATGCTAGTGAGGCTAGTGGCCACTGCAACATAAAGCAACGACGCAAAAGAACTCTATGCTATCATCATATTAGAAACTCTTCCAACTTGACCGAGCGGGAAACTATTATGGAACGAGTAATTATAGGAGGGCTTTACCCAGCAATGCCTAGCTAAGATAATACAACAACTATTTGCTAAATACAACTCTGCCATACGGTGATAATAGAGAACATTACAGATTACAGCGCGTCAACCACAAGATACCATCTTTGCTTTCTTCGTGTGGGATATCATGCATGACGGGCTACGCAATTCGAAGCTCCTGCGAGTGGACGAAGCGGGCAAGTTACGCTGATAATGTCGCCTTAATAGTGCAGCACGCAACGAAGCCATTAATAGAAATCGTTGCAAATGATAAGCAGTTGGCTAATTTAGCTCAAGCTAAAACTTGCCGTAGATAAAAAAGGGAAGTGATAATGGTGACGCACCGTAGTGCGAAGAAAGTAAAAGTCGATAGCCACTATAACACTAATCTCAGATATCTAAAGTATAGTAAGAAAGTAATTAACGTTCGGGGAACATATTTGCTACTATTTTGCAACTATTATGTGTAAAGTTACGTGAAACATAAGCATGCCAAAGCAGCCCGATCGAAAACATACATGGCGCATAGTCTACGCGTAGCTGATGTTTGACGCACCGATCTGGTGGTAGGTATTGAGAAAGGAATGAAAAGGTAAACCCACGTTTTGACTAGGAATGGAAATTCCTCGAGTTATCTCTGCCGTTTTATCTTAAGATGTAAGTAGATGAGCCATGGGAAAGGTTTTGTCAAAGCATAAATGATTTTTTTTCTATGATCAGCCACTCAGGGGATGTTTCCTGTAGTTGCGGGCACAAAGGTGATCGGAAAAGGTTATAGAAAGAGCGGAGTGAAGAGAGGAAGTAGTGTTTCTGTACGTTCGACTTAATAATGGAGACATCAGGCAAGGCAGAAAAGACCACTGCTGATAAGTTGTTCCAAAGGCGGACAATACGTTTGAAAATCGGCGGTGTCTCGGTACATTGCTGTGCGGTGTACAGGTAACTCCTGGATGAGAACCACGTTTTTTTTAAGAATGTGTGTATGATTAAAAAAAAAAATATATATATACATATATATATATATTTATATGAATTATTTTCACATGTCCTGCTTTGGCATATTTGAGAATCATGTTTTCTAACCTTCTCGCGAGAGAAATTGCACCACGTAATCTACTAAGAGTCGCATTGAGGGATATGGAAAGGTGTAGCAAATATGGATATTCTCCGGGAAAATGTCACAAGCAAGTAACACCCGAACATCTAATGTCATTCTAGTACGCAGGATATACGATTATATACTGGGGATGAACGTTCCGTAAGGATCCATGCGGAGGAGTTTTATACAAACATCATTGGCAGTACGCTACCAGTATGTCCCCCCCCCAAAAAAAAAAAATCTGGAGAGCTGAATCGATAGTTAATTAGTGAATTACTCAAAATAGCTAGTGACGTCAGAATGTGGTCAATCAAATTGATTAGTCAGTACGGCCGAAGTAGTGAATCGAGCATTCAAAAAGATGTATGGTCAATGACCAGTGAAGAAAGTCAATGACATAGGCGAACATAGACTAGGCGGTCGGCTAGTGATTGGCGACTGGTGAGATAAATACGTCGCCGGTCGTAAGTAAGTCAATCAAGTAGCTATTCGAGCCGCCAACCACTCCACGGACAAGTTCATGCAGTTAGCTTGGGAAAATTTGCGAGCTCTCGAAAACATACTAATTCTGCATAACATGTATAAGTAATGTTGTTAATCTCGCATATTTACAGCGAATTAAATGAATCAAATGAATACAAAAATTTTGCTTTCTGATCAACAAAATAAAAGCTATATCATATGCCCTTTTAAGAGGGCCACCAAAGAGGTTGAATTGCAATTTCACGTACAATTCGTTTGCCTTTTAAACACTTTTAAGTAACTTGAAATCGACCATTAACTCTATGTGAGCCCTTACAAAAAATGATGATTTCTGCATTTGATGGATTTTTTTAAGCTTTTAATGCTTGCATCTTATGTCCTTACCTAATGGTTATTAACGCTGACGCGGTTGCCCGGCCAAATTCATTTTTCAAAGAGCACTCATATCGTCCGCCATCAAAAATGGTAACGTTTTTCACAAAAAGGCTGCCAGTACCACTGATTTCATATTTTTCACTAGAAAGTATTATCGGATCAATAAGTCGTCCATCTTTGCGCCAAGTAAGCTAACGTTCAAATAAAAGGAAAAATAAAAAAGGAAAAAATTAAAAACAAAGAGAAGAGAAAAGAAGAGAATAACAAACAAAACGAAACGACGCAAAGAGAAATAAGTGTACATAGTAACGAATGAATTATTAAGTCAATGTAAAAAGCAAAGCGTTTTATTTTTTTTGTTTTTTTTTTGTTTTCTTAACATTACCGGCTACTTACCTTAATGCCAGAGGGCTCTGCCGCTTTGCAGGGCAATTCAATTGTGGTGCCGATAAATGCTTCCAAGTTGAATGGCTCAATAGAAATGCGCGGTATACCGAGCATTCCTTCCACGGTCACCGTGGCCGCTATTGTTGTTCGTCCGTTCTCATTTTCGGCAATGCACGTGTAAAGGCCTAAAATTATAACGTAAAATGAACCACCAGCATCAGTGAATCCTTCAATGCACACACATCTTGACGGGAATCTCGGCGATTATGTTAACTTTTTATTTTTGATGTTAAATAAACGTTAAAATAACGTTTCTTTCATTACACTTGTAGTTGTTGTTTTTGTAACTATTATCAATTGTAAAGTGTCTGTGCATTCTTACCTAATATAAAATTTTGTACCGATAAAATTCTACCCGTCCGTCCGTCCGTCCGTCCGTCCCCTGATTTATCTCTGTAAATATTTTTCAAAACTCTTCATCATAGAAATCGGGCCGAAATAGTGTAACTTGCCATAGGTATACTCATAACTGCCAGATGGTTGAAATAAAAATTTGCCCGAAACATTTCAAACATTTGAAAATTCCGTGCATCAAGAGCTTCGATCGATAATACTTTAAAATATTTATGTGTTGAGTTGCAATGCCGCATATTAAAGATTTGCTCTTAGGGCCTGTGCATATAACGTGCACTTTTCTCTTCCTTTTGCTTAACTCAATTTGATTCCTTTCGTTTCACGTAATACTTACTTCATTTATTCATCAAAAGTTTTGTTGTTGGCTTAACTGGTTTTTTTTTTTTTTTTTTTTTTTTTTTTTTTTGAGGCTGCGTTAATCTCTGCGAGTGTGTGTGTATGTTTGTATGTGTAAATTTATTAAATGGAATGGTTTCTTACCTGAATCCGATTCTTGAGCGTTGTTTACAATCAATTCGGTGTTTTCGTTTTCCAACGTCAAGTGCTGGCTGACCACAACGGCTGCACCATTAAATTGCCATGTTATCGACGGTATCGGATTACCATCCGCATCACATTCCAATACAAAGCTTTTACCAATTTTAATTGTTTGATTTTGCGGCGCCATTAATATTTCAGGTAACTCTGCAACGAATGTTTCAAAGTACGATAAACGGCATCGTTAAGTGGATCTACAGTCGTAAGTAAACAATTTCAATTTACTAACTAACTAACTAACCAACCAGACCGGCTGTCTGACTATGTGCTTGAGCGAAGAGCAACTCTTAAACAAATATACTCATATATATACAAAGTTAATGTTGATACATAAATGACTGCTTGTGCTTATAGGTAAACAGGTATGACTATCATATCGTCACAGATTGTACGTCAAGTGCTGCGTTAAGTCATCATTTCTATGTAATGCGTTCGAGCATCATTCGGTACGTTGTCCGTTCGTCCGCTCGCGTGTAAATGTGTATAAATATGCATAATATACATATGTGTATGTGTGCGTGTTCTTTTTTTTTTGCATTCATAGAGCAAAAGGAAAGTTTTTTGGTGATTCTGCTTTGTATTTCACGTTCTCTTTGTACTTACAGATGTGTACTCGCAAACATATATATAATATATATATATATACATACTACACGTGTATATGCATCGTGTGGATTTCTGTATACTGTGCATAATTGTGATAGTAATCTGTTTGTTTTAGTTACACTAACATGCTTTGACATGATTCTCTGTGAATCAACTCGGCATAAATTGATTGCTGTTTAATGTAAAATAAAAACAACAACACCATTCACATACTATATATATATAGATAGTATAGTATAGAAAAGTTAACAACAGCTTTGTACTATTTACATCTAGTTTGTAGATAATATGTATATAGCTGCCGACCAACGGGCAGACGTAACAATTGGTTGAGTTTTTACACTTGTATGACGAAAAAAAAATTCGCAACCAACACGATTATAAATGGATCAATATTTGCGGGATTTAATTGATGGAATTTAAAGGATTACATTTGGTAAGTTCGTTAGTAGTTGGTTATGGCAAATAAAGAGAGATTTAACAGTACTTCCGCTTATTTATACATTAGACATACGCTTATTATAATAATTTTTTTAATTTTTTGGACACAAAAATCTCAGATTTAAACCTTTGATGCCGTTGATAATTTATTATTATTTTTACACATCGATGGCAAAAAAATCCACTAAGAGCAAACATTGTTCTATTGAAAACATATGTATGTAATTCGTAACGAAGTTCCTATCGAATTCCTGTCGAGATCTGGAAACAGGAAAGTAGTTAACATTATAAGGTTATAACATCTTTCGCTTAGTCATCAGATTTTCGTTTACTTACAGAGATGCATTCCAGACCTTCTAAAGTAAGTGAGATAACTTAATCAGTTTAATCTTTCCTCTTCATATGTCTATCTGTCTATCTATCTATCTATCTATAGTCGCAAGCTAACATTGGACCGGGCTCATATACTCGCAGATCTATATGTATTCGCATCGTATTTGATTTGGCTTTCTCGCTTTCTCTTTCTCACACGCTCTCCTCCAGTCTTTTCATCTCTCTTTTCCACATTCTCTCTTTAAGTCTCCCTTTCCCAATCCCCATCTATTTCCCCTTTCTCACACTCGCATTTCTCTCTGTTTCCCTTTACCTTTCCTGTTTTTAGCTTCCTTTAGAGAAAATGCCTGCCGTAATTTACAAACACTGACTTGATTCTTATATCCCCTTTGCGACATTTTACATTAGTTCAAAGCATATTTTATATGCTTTGTGAGTACACCGTTTGCCTTTGTATCTATGCGATTATTTATTTATTTATTTCAATTTAGCTTAACAGAAACTCAACTAAAATAAATGAACAGTCGAATTCAATTAATATCTTTGAAGTAAATCTTACATTAATTGTTTTTAAAACTGATATAAAGTATATAAGAAAATGTAAAGAAAAGGAAAAGTGAATAAAAGAAAGAAAGCAAATACATAGCTAGTACAGAGGCACACCCACACTCGGTACAGAACCATGTTGCAAGTGATAGACACATCCATTGACAGCATGCAAAAGCTTGCCGAGCAATAAGAGTAAACAACACCTGTTCATTTTCAAATCATAGTCAGACGTTAAAATCGCGCCTACTAAGCAAAGTCATTTTGTTGGACTGTAACGTATCCAATATTGAGATTAAGTGATAGACATCGCTTAGGTTTCTGCAAACAACTCTGATTGGATTGAACAGGTCATAATTATATTTACATTGACTAAGCTTGATGAAACTAAAGTGCCTAGAGAAGTGATTAGGGACGTTAAGGTGTAACTCACCAAGTACGAGTCGATAGTACCATCGATAGTACCATTAATTAATTTGATTAAGAAGCAAACGCCATGAATAAATCTACGTTTCTCAAAGAACCTGTTTTTACAAGGAGAAGGACAGACAAGCGAGATCAACCCAAATTTTTATCGTTTCCCATACAGTGAATATATAGACTATTGACAATTATTTTTGTGAAGAATTTGTGTAATACCGATGAGGACGTAATCAGCCGATAATCTGATGAATCGTCGGATCTTATATTTTTTGGTAGTGAGTAAATATTTCCTGCAAATAATTCCGAGGGTGATCTTTGTGGTGTCTATAGCAGCTGGGTTTAATATTTGGCAAGTTGTTGATGTATCTTCACCTATATCGTATGTGCAGTGTTTTGTCCGGGCCAGTTGCTTTCCAATTTTGGATGTTGTCTACAACTTTTTCGATTTAAATTTTTGTTATTCTGTTAAACGCTATATCTTATTCTATTTAACGCTATACCTTTATCGTCTTTTTACTCCTCTTCGATCTACTTTGGTTCCTCTTATAGCTTCCTGAGGTGTTTCATAATTTCTCCCAATACTGCTTCATGTTTATTACAGGGAGGTCATCTCCCTGGGAAAATGTGGTGTATGGTCACTTAGCAATTTTGGTTTGCTAAGAATGCGTCTCTGCGCGACCGAAATTGTTAAGTTCAGACACGCAGAGAGATTGTTTTGATATAGCTTTGATCGCTTCCGGTTTTGCACTGGTTTCATGCTAGGTGAGTGGAGCAGCGCTAGAGATAAGTTTGATTTTTTTTGGTCTTGCGAAAGCTTATGTGAATTTTTTCTTAAAACATACGCTTTGAAATGGAGCTTGGGTTTTTGTGAAACTATGAAAATCAAACATTTCTCACATTAAGCGAAAGCTTACTGCGTATACAAGAAGCGAACGCTATGTTGTGTGATGTACGGGAGAGATGTTGCAAGGCATTTGTGTAACATTAATATAATTAATTTCGAGATATTAAAAAGGCTATAATTGCCATCATACTATCAACCCGAAGAGCGTTACTTTACTTTGGTATATATTGACTCCTTGAAGAATTCATTTAGCTTGAAATTTTTATTTAAAACTGTACATATCAAAAGTGAATGCGACATGTACTAAATGCGAAATGTAATAAAGAAAAAGAAAAGGTGTGAGAAAGTTTCCGTGTAAAATTGTCGGAATTTGAGAATAGATGCGCAGACAACATAAAAATAAAATATTTACAATTCATGACAATTTGCTAAAAGTACTGAGGTAAAAAGGAAAATACAGGTATCAGTAAAATTGCTCCCGAAATGAGTCAAAAATTGAAAAAAAAAAAAATTTTTTTTTTCTTTTTCCTCATTATAAAGCCGTTTATCAACTGAAATTATTAAAAACTTACACTATCACATTTCATCATCAAAAATATGTAAGGAACAATATTAGGCAGTGAAACCGTTAGACAACAACAGCAGCAGCAGCAAATCCAGGTATAGCTGGCACTTATCCTATATCATCGCCATTTGCATTATTGATACTTAGCTATGTGCAAAATGTTTTCATAACCTGCTGTAGCAAACCAGCGGCACCCAAGGTTATGCAATAGATCCTTTCCTTTTTTTTTTTAAACATACTCAACGTGTACGTATATAAATGATTTATGATCGAATTGAATTATGATTGATTTGTAAACATATCTACATACATTTTTTTTTTTACATATTAATAATCCATTTTTGTTTCTTTAATTAAATCTGAAGCCTAAACATATATATCTGTTTTGGTATTGCTGGTGGTATGTATTAGAGGAGAATAAAAAAAAATATATCAATATACATACTAAAATAAGACAAGAGTAAAATAAAAAAAAAATATATAAAAATAAATGAAATAAATAAAATAAAAAAATATAAAAAGACAAAAAATGTCGACTAATTAAATCTTTTTTTCTTGTTATGAGAGGAAAGTAGATTGGAGGGGTCGTCTGACCCAAGTTCAGAAGGGATGGCAGCGGCACAAGGGATGCCTGTTCGATAGATTAGTTTACGTCCGTCAATGTGTTCGTTAAGGGTGCATACGTGCTATTCTTTTAGTTATAACTGTCTGAAGAATGTCAGTGAGTCAAAAATGTAGAACTCCTCCCCTCCCACGAATCACGATCACGAATTAGCTAGCTCTGCAAAAGCACTTACATCAGTCTCATACGACTCCATTTCTTCTAAAAAGGGCACTTTCGAGTTGCAGTTAATAGTTTTCTATATTTGCAGACATAGTTTTCTATGTAGACAGTATTGTTACAGAAGCTTGCCTAAGTTCTGATAAAACATTTTAATTTGTATTACGCTCAATATTTTGTTGCTTTTTCTTCCCGTCTTCTTCAGCGGACAAATAAATCGTTCATCATTACAATTCACTAACCAATGAGACGAAATTAAACAAATTATTTTTGTGGTTTATCAAAAGACCTATATATATATATACTTATATATAGAGACGGAAAAACATTTAAAGAAATCTTTGTCACTGTATGGTGCTTGATATCATGTACCGAATAACACTCGTCGGATTGCGTTATGCTCTCGCGCGTTTCAAAGCAAAGCTTTTCGTCTACAATTCTCATGAAATTAATTTTGAATTTCGTCAGTTGTATCAATAGCTGTGCTCAAAATTGCCGAAGATTGGCAAACAGATATCGGTTGCAACGAAAAATCTCTATTTTTTCTAGAAGCTGTAAGCCATCAATGACGCCTGCCTATCATTCAATCATTGATCTACGAGCTAATG